GATACCTTTCACTATATGTGGGCATATTTTCCACACACCATGATTTTTATTACATTTGCCTACAAGGGACGGCCCTGCAGCGGCTCGGTTGCATAAGGTGCTGTTTCCAAACACCTTGTCCCCAAGTAGAGACACAGAATAAGTTTTATCTAGGTCCGAGAGTGTTCTGGAGGGGTGACATCGTGTTCCAAGCTGCACTGGTTATAGTCAACAGTGGGAAAGCTGCCACAACCTTCTCACCAAGGAAGCTAAGAGAATGTTCTAAATACCGAGCAGTACTTCTTTCTTAAAGCACAAAGTAGTCATAAAAACCACTTAACAAGGAAAAATTAATGGGAGGAAAATGTCCTAAGTGTAGCAAAAAAAAAAAAAAAAATAGATTTACTATGTTGAAAGGATGTGGCTCTTAATACAGGAAAGTCAATTTTTACACCAAAAATAATTCAACAAGTATCATTTACTTTACAAAAGGCTTCACAAAAGAACTCCTATAAGAAGCACTATGGTTTCCTTCCTTCCTTCCTTCCTTCCTTCCTTCCTTCCTTCCTTCCTTCCTTCCTTCCTCCTGCCTGCCTTCATCAGACATCTACTGAGTGCTTACTGTGTTCTAGACTCTGTGCTAGGGAAGCCATGGTGAGCTAGATAAACATTGTTCCTCCCCTTGTGGTCTCTCTGGCCAGCTGGAGGGACAGCACCTAATCAGATCACTACACAATCAAGAAGCCACTGATAGCAGAAGCCAGAGTCCCATGGTGCTATGGGAATAACAGCCTCTTCTATTCTGAGAGCCAGAGAAAGCTTTCCCAAAAGAAGTGATGTTCCAGGTAGCAAGAGCATCCGCGCAAAGGCCCTACTATAACAGCAAGCCTGGTCCTTCGAGGAAAGGGAGGCCATGAGGCCACAGAGGTCAACCGGAGCCAGGGGCACAGGAGGTCTTGGAGGCTGCTGCAAGGAGGAGGTTTAGATTCTAATTTCATGGTACATGGAAATATTGCTCCCTGGGGAGCAGGGAGAGTCATGAGGATTGTAAGCAGGAAGTAAAATAATCAGTTAGGCGCTTTTTAAATTTTCTTTTCCTTTTTTTCTGACAGTCACAAGCTGTGAGGAGAATGGACTGATGGGGGTGGGGAACCCACAGTAGAGGCAGAAAGACCAGTCAGGAGGCCACTGAGCTTGCCAGGGCAAGAAATGCTGGTGGCCATGGGGACAAGCCAAGTAGAATGGGCCAACTCATCCAAGTGTCCATTGGAAAGGGTACTGTGACCCAGACAAAGTGAATCCAGAGAACAAGAGCCGTGGCTGACCACATCCCACCCAGGCTAGTTTCACAATTAAAATTTAATTTCATTAGTTGATAAAATGGATAGCGTCATTTCCTGGTGGAAAGACAAGGTCAAGATTGTATGTATCAATGTCCACTACCAACTTGTGTGCTTTAGGAGTCTGAGCACATTTTCAGCCCTCATCATCCTCATGTAGTAGTTATTGTTACCCTCATTTCACAAAGGAGCAAATTGAGAGCCATAGAGGTTGAGAAATTTGCTCAACTGGTGACTGGCAGAGCTGGGATTGAAACCTGGCAACTAGTGATCTGCCCTGGGACAAGTGGCAAGTGTCAGGGAGCCCATGCATACAATGGGTCTAATTAAGGCTGGGGTGCTGGTTCAGCATAGGGTGAGGTGAACTGCTTTTTCCCCACTCCAGAGGTCTCTTCTGGCAACGGTTCTAGGAGTCATGTAAACCAGTTTGGAATCCCCACACACATGTGTGCAAGCCCTTAAAATCACAGTGGGGCCTCTTCTCCCCCTGGCCTGGGCTCTTCCACCCTGGGCAGACCTGCCTTGAGGGTCAGGGGCACCCGCTCTGGGCAGGAACAAGTCCTGCCTGAGGGGGTGACTTCTGTCCCAGAAAAATGTGCCTCACGTTTCATAGAAGTTGGCCAAAGGGGGCAAGAGGAGCTGGAACAACACTCCAAGTAAAGGGAACCCTGTGGGAAAAGCCCTGGGGGTGGCAGCAAATGCTGTGGGTTCCTGGAGCTGCATAATCCTCAGAGAGGGCAGGGATGAGGAGGTGGATACGAGCCTGCCAAGCAGGTCCTTGGAAGCCATGCTTTGGTGTTTAAGTTCATCCCAAAGGCAAAAGGGAGCCCTGGAAGTGTCTTACACAGGCAACTGATAAGATGGTGTTTTCATGTTGAGAAAATTTCTCTGCCATGTGCCGGCCCTGGGAGCAGGCAACATGTTGCCTTCTTTACTAGGTGATGCCCTAGGCAGTGTCAGGTTCTGGACTGGGGACCACACTATGTTGACAGACTCAGGAAGAACATGATCAAACTACCTGTGCTTTTAAAAAGCAGATTTGGCCAGAGGGAGTCCTTTTCTCAGACAGCCTGACCTGGAATCACTCGGACAGACTTTGAGGGAATCTGAGCTGTCACCTGGATTTCTGTTTCAGTTAAAACCAGCTTTAATTTGTTTAATGTATGTATGTTTAACCCTACTTGAAACCCACTATATTAGTTTCCTGTTGCTGCAGTAACCTATTACCACAACACACATTAAAAACAACACGAATTTTTAATCTTCTATTTCTAGAAGTTTGAAATGGGTCTCAAGGGGCTAAAGTCAAGGAGTCAGCAGGCTGGTTTCTTCTGGAGGTTCTATGGAAAAATCAGTTTCCTTGCCTTTTGTATCTTCTGGAGGACTCCTGCATTCCTCAGCTCATGGCTTCTTCCTCCACCTTCAAAGCCAGTAGTGCAGTGTTGTCATATCTCTTTGACCTCTGCTTTCATCATCATGTCACCTTCTTCCATTCTGACCCTTTGGCCTTCCTCTTATAAAGGCCCTGTGATTACACTGAGCCTATCTTGATAATCCAGGATAATCTCCCTCATTTCTTTTTTTAAAAAATTAATTTATTTATTTTGAGAGAGAGAGAAAGGGAGAGAGAGGGAGGGAGGGAGAGAGCCAGTGGGGGGAGGGGCAGAGAGACAGGGAGAGAGAGAATCCCAAGCAGGCTTTGTGCTGAGAGTGCAGAACTGGACATGGGGCTCGATCCCATGAACCATGAAATCATGACCTCTGCTGAAATTAAGAGTCAGACGCTTAATGGACTGAGACACCCAGGTGCCCTAATCACTCCCATTTCAAGCTCCTTATTTTGATCAAAGTCCCTTTTGCTTTGTAAGGTAACATACTCATAGGTTTCAGAGATTAGCATGTGGACATCTTTGAAAAGCCATTGTTCAGACTACCACACACTTTAACCAAATAAAGAGAAAGGGGATGCCTGGCTGGCTTAGTCAGTAGAGTGTGCAACTCTTGATCTCGGCGTCACAAATTTGAGCCCCATGTTGGGTGTAGAGATTACTTAAAAATAAAATCTTTAAAAAAAAAATAAGGAGAAAGAGTGATAAACCTGGAAACTGGGAGAAGAATGGACTAGAAGTAGGCAGGCAGATGTTAGACAGGAGGTTGGGGCAGAATCAGCCAGGAAGATGCTGGTGGTCTGGGCTGGAGTAGAGTGGGAAGAATGGACACCGGCCATGTTTCAGAGGGAGGATGGCTTGGTCTTGGGGACTGTCTGGGTTAAATGGGCAAGGACCAGGAGACTGAGTAGATAGTGGTGCCCTTAGAAGGGTCTGAGGGGGAAGAACAGATTTGTGGCAAAGACAAAGAGGGCATACAGGGATGTGTTGCATCTAGATACCCATGAGACATCTAGGAGAGGTGACTGGGAACCAGGTGGACCCAAAGTCTAGATGGCTGTGACTCTCAGGTCCCTCCTCTCCCTGTGGGCATATATGGGCTTATCCTCCACATTGATTTCTAGGTCATCATCTCTGTTGGACCCGAAAGTTCTCCAATTCCAGGTAAGAGTCATCTTGATTGACATCTTAACAAGAGAAGTTATCTTGCATTTCTGAGGCCAGAGTACAGAGATATTTATTCCACAATAAGTTTGAGTTTATCAGCACTGGAAACAAGAATTTATATGGTAGAGAGATTCAATCACTTGCACAAGGACTCACAACTGGCCTGTGGCAGAGTAGGAGTTGTTAATGCATGTGGCGCATGCATTTTAGGCATAGGGATGTTTTCTGTCCAGCCCATTCTAAGCTGATAGCAGCCAGCTGCTCACCATTTTAGGGCCGTGGAGATTTGGAAGACAAAGGTTCTTCCTGTTTTTTGAGAAAGCCTGAGCTCATGGGAGGGTCCATTTCCAGTGTTCCCAAGGAGAAAGGGAGAGGGAGCTTTCAGGGAAGCTGGGTCCAGCAGGGAGGTCTCCAAGGCAGGGGAAGGGAAGAGTCTTCAGGCCCTGCAACCAGGGAAGCAGGCACCTATCCCCTGGCAATCTTGGGGCATCAGGCATGGCCCCTTAGAGCCCAAACCTGGAAGTCCTGTGGTTGGGACAATGGCTGTGGCCTCAGTACCAGAGAGGACCCATGACTAGAGCGTGCTTCTCAGGCTGCTATTGCAGGAGATCCTGAGTCCTTGGAATAACCTGGGTAATAGGAGCCCAGCAGAGACCAAGACTGAATGTCCCACCAGTCTGGAAGAGGGGGCTCCCAGTAGGATTTCTGCTTAATTTAAAGGAAATATAGAAAGGAGATATTTTGTGCTGCATATTTTCTTTTATACTTCACATTTTATATTATGAGGAAACCTGCATATTTATTTGTGTATTTGTCTATACCTGTCTTTCCCTTAGCCTGTAATCTCCCTGAGGGGTAGGGATCTCGTGTTCCCCATGGTATGCCCAGTGCCCAGCACATACTGATTAAAGTGTGCAGGCTGACTGGGGGGTCTCCCTGACAGTGGTAGTCTCAGGGAGAAACTGAAGGGGGGCACGTTTGGGACAAGTTACGATTTCGAGAAGACAGCTGTGGAGTGAGGGTGGGGGAAAGTGGGTTTTCGAGGACAATTGTTGAAAGGGAACGGGGAACGCGGAGGCTCGGGTTCCAGGGATCCCAGGGGTCCCTGGTGAGCCCCGCCCCGAACCTTGGTGCCGGCGCGAAGCGACGCAGCGCGGTTTGGCCGCTGTGGGGCGCCGTAGCCCGCGCCGTTGCCAGGGGAACGGGCCCAGCTCCTGAAGAGTTCCATCCTGCCTCGGCCTGGCCTGGCGGGGCTGTACAGCCAGCTTGCTCCAGCCGGTGCCCGAGGACTTGCCCGCCCGGCCTCCGTCGCGCGGCCCGGGATGGGGCCCCGCTCCGGGCTGCGCCACCGCCTGGTCCCGAGGACCATCTCCGTTGTGAGGGTCTGAAGTGCAGCCACCGTGGGAGGGTGGACGGCCAGGCGCGGGGGCTGAACTACCGGGTGACCTTGGCAGGGCCGATCTGGCTCGGTCGACGCGACGCGCAGGTGAGTAGCCCCCACCGCGGTTCTCACCTCGAAACCTGGCATGAGCCACGGGGTTGTGGCTGCAGCCGCTCGGCTGTGCTCTGCGCTCACCTTGGCCTGGAGCCCGCGGCCTGGGCTTCAAGGGACAGGGCAGAACGCGGGGCTTCCTTCTAGTATTCATCAGGTTCACATATCTGCATTGAGCAGATACTCAATATACACAGTATTCTCAATACTGTGTGCCAGGGACGGGGTCACTGAGGATTCCAGGAAACGGCACGATCTCCAGAACCCACAGAGTATTAAGGGGGGTGGGGTGGGCAGGCTCCAGATAGACGACTGTGTGATTTTCGCTCGAGATAAGTACTCTGGTGACGTCATGGAGGGGGCGGGGGTGGTGTTCTGGCAGGGTCTCCTATAAAAGGTGACTTTGAAGCTAAGACCTGAAGGTTGAAAGGAACCAGAATTGTAAGTAGGGGAAGGGTGTTTCTGGAAGAGGGAAAAGCAAATGCAAAGGCAGCAAAGTACTATTAAGGAACAGAAAGGATGAGGGGAGCATTGAAGGATGCGATGGAGGTTTCAACTTTGTCCTAGAAGCAGGAGGAAACCATTGAAAAGTTTTGATGAATTTGAAGTTTTGAAAAGCTCACCTTCCTCTGGCTGCTGTGGGCAGTGTCCTTATGACAGGGCACACCAGCAAGTCATTTGAGGGCCATTGTAATTCTGCCAGTCTGTGTCTCCTAGAAGAACTTAGTCTCTCTGAGCCTCAGTGTCTTCATCTGTGAAAGGGGGATGTTATTCTGCATGTTGTTTATGAGAGAGAAAGTGAGACACCAGTCCATCCGAGACCAATGACAGAGGAGGTCTTTGGGAACAGTTTGAAATGACAGGACCTACCTCAGAGAGTTGTGAGGGATTATAAGTGCATTCTGTTAAAGTAGTTCCTGGCACAGAAAAAGTTCCCTCCAAATGGCCGTTATTACTGAAACTACATTGCTACAGGGGAGCAATGATGGAGGGTTGGATTAGGGTGATGGCAGCAGAGATGGTAACAAATGGTTTAATTTCTTTTATTGAAGGAAAGCTGGATTTAGAGATAGGTGTGGGGTGGTCTTTGCTTTTGTGGAACTGGTGGTTCACCATGGAAGATGGGTTTGTAAACGGATAATCACCATGAGTTGCAATAAAAGCAACATTGGTGCTTAGTTTTTGTTTTTTTTTTTCTTTTCTTTTGTTTTTCTTACTTTGTTTTGTCACAACTTTGCTCTTAACGACTGTTTCTTGGTGGGTGTTCCTCCAGGCTTGCTCCTACAATCATGTGAGTTGATTTCCTGGTTAAAATCAACAACCGTTGGCTCCTCTCATTGGCCTTTTTTCGCTCCATTGTTACTCCTTCCTTCTTGTCCCGTTTCCCTGGCTAAACCTGAATCCCAAACAGTTCCAGTGGTTGCTTCAGGAGGAGAATGGCACAGAAAATGTTTGCACACCACGTCAACTCAGGAATGAGTGAGATTTCAGGGTTTTCTTGCTCTAGCATCAGACTTCTGTGTGTTGTTTATGTGAAGAGCCCAGCCACATCTGAGGCCAGTGACTGGACGGGTCTATGAGAACAGCTTGAAGTTCCAATTTATTTTCTGGGCATTGTCGTGAGGTGCATATCTTAGTCAAACTGGAGCCACTTCCCAGAATTTTAAGGCCAGAGACTTCTCTGGTACCTGGAGGGAATTTTAATAAAGTATTTGCCCAAAACTTCTTTTATAAATGACTTTTTTTGCACTGTAAAACAGTGTGTACCATGCAGCATTTTTTTTTTCCAGCCTCTGTTTAGGTTTAAATTGGACATCTGTTAAATCTTAGTGAAAATTATTTTATTTTATTTAAAAAAATTTAAGTTTATTTATTTATCTTGAGAGAGAGAGAGAGCGAGCAAGCGAGCTTGGGGGAGGAGAGAGAGAGAGAGAGAGAGAGAGAGAGAGAGAGAGAGAGAATCCCAAGCAGGCTCCATGCTGTCAGCACAGAGCCCACATGGGGTTTGAATCCACGAACTATGAGATCACAACCTGAGCCAAAACTGACTGAGCCACCCAAGCACCCTTAGTGAAAATTATTTTAAAAGCAGATGCAAGGAAAAGTTGTTTAGAAATATCCATAGACAGGTGCCAGGATGGCTCAGTCGGTTAAGTGTATGACTCTTGATCTCAGCTAAGGTCTTGATCTCAGGGTCATGAGTTCAAGCCCTGCAAGAAAGCAAAAGAAATATCCATAGAAAATAATTCCTGTAAATCCTCTAGCTTTTCTTAGCAAACAGAAAAGATGGTTGTGAGCAAAACCATCCTGTTGCATGCACCTTCCCTTTGGGTTCTGGAGTCACAGGAAGCTGAGCTGACTTTTGGCTGAGCACTAGAACAGGGTCCTGCCCAGCAACTCCTCTTGTGCTGCCCAGAGGTCTGATTCCAACTTTGACAAGACTCCCAACAGCTCATAGGGAGCTCTGTGGTTCTTCCTCACAGCTCTGCAGTGGAATGATTCAGAGTTGCTTTCGAGGAGTGAGGAAGCACCGAAATAAAACTGAGCACTCTTTTTGCATGGTAGTTAGGTGGGATTTCCTTGTTTGTCAGGTGTGGTACAGGGCTCTGGAGCCCACAAGCACATTTGGTCTACGTGGCAGCCCAGTGGGCCAGGAGGGTAAGAGGTGACACCCCTTAATTATTTATCTGACACATTCTTTTTTTCAAAAGCATTGATGCATATGGTAAAAAAATTTCAAACACTGCACAGTAAAAGCAAGTCTCTTTCACTGCAGCCACTAGATCTTCCCAGAGGCTGTCCCTGTGTTTGCCTTTTTGCATTTCTTTCCAGAGAGAATCTATGCAAATTGGAACATACCCATCCCTGTTTGTTTTCACTTACTTGATATAGCATGTTCTACAACTGCCCACATCTTGCTTTTTCACTTCACTGTGTATCGAAGGTCATTTCATCCCTCATTGTTTTGATATTGTATAGCATTTCATTGTGTGACTGTGCCATAGTTTGTTTATATTGTTTTTTGTTCTTTATTATTGCAAACAAGACTGCTGTGAATCTTTGTGTACTTTGTGACTATATGTATAAGATAAATACCTAGAAATGGAATGACTGGGCCCAAGGGTATATGTGTTCTAAAGTTTGGTAGACATTGCCAAATTGCCTTCCAGCTACCTTTTTTTTTTTTTAAGTGGGCTTGAACTCATAACCCCGAGACCCAAGAGTTGCATGCTCTAGTGATTGAGCCAGACAGGCACCCCCCAGCTAACTTTTTAAAAAGCTGAGTAAAGAAGACACCCAAAGAGTTGCCTCTGAAATTTGCCTCCGGGTTACCCAATCTGTGAGTGGCAGTGCAGGAACCAGAGCCAGGATCTGTTTCCAGGCCTTGTGCTCTTGCCTAGCTCCAACCTGCCTCTCTCCCTTGGTGGCTCAGGTCCCCAGGCCCTCAATCCCCCTCTAAGAGCCCTGTCTCTTCTTCTCTAAACCCATCATTCTACCCTGCCAGGTCAGTGGCCTCCTCCTAAAAAGCCTCTTTAGTAATGAAATTGATTCTTTTCTGAAATCCTCAAACATTTTTCAGGAACACAGGGGTGCCCACAGCCTCTCCAGGGCTAGTATTTTTCACTTTAGTCTGGTTGTTTTGACAACGCCATTCATAAATCTTAGGAAACATTCCTAAATACTTTTTTGGTGGGAGCAGAGGTGGGCAAGAGGGAAGTGGATCAGTCATAGAACTATTCTACAGTTCATAATGAGAACTTGAAATGTTGACTTCCCTCATTTAAATTAGGCACATAAAGTAAGGTAGCCTAACTTTCTTTTGAAAATGCTATTTTAGGGTTTTAGCATAGGAATGTTAACAGGAAGAGATTAGTGTCATCTTGGCAATGACCTTTATCTTATTGGGACAAGGGAGGGGGCTATACAGCCCCTCTAGCCCACCTCAGAAGCCAGGTGGGTCCTTGGCTTACCCAAGGTGACCTTTACCCAAAGGTGGCGACTTTTGGCCTTAACACTCCTTGGGACCTCGTCACTCTTGTCTCCATCTCCACCAGTTTAACTCTGTGGTTTGTTCTGTGGCAGCAGAAGGTACATGAAGAAACTTTTACCAAGGCACACATACCTCTCAGCCCACCAGAGATGCAGCTGGAGGCATCGGTGGTTTAGGGGACCTTGTGGGCTTGGCCTCCATCTTCTGGCCAATTCTTCCCAAAGCACAAGGCTGCTGGGCTGCTGCCCTCCCTGGGCCAGCCTGCTGTTGTGTCACCTTTCCCCTCTTGCTCGTGCCCTCTTCCCTACTGGACTAGAAGAAAGCTTTCTAAAACACCCACCACCTTTGTGTCGTTCCCCTGCTTTAAACTTCTTATGACTCCTTGTGGCTCTTTCAATAGTAGCCAGACTTCCTTGCCTGGCCTCCTAAGCCCCATGGGATCTGACCCTTCAGCTCCTCAGGGCTCATCTTCTTCTCTAGATCCCCCCTCCATGCACCCTGTGTTCTGTCACTCTGAATGGCTCACCCTTGTATGACCCATTCACCCACTGCCTTCATGTCTGTCTGGGCCCCCAGAAAGCAAGGCCCTGAGGGCAGGAGCCTGGTCTCATCTGTGTTTATATCTTTAGTGCACACAGGGGGCTGGGCCCCAAAAGTGCTGACTGGGCCAAGGTGTAAATGCACAGGCTGGCCAAGCTGTCCGGGAGCAGAGCCATGCGTCTTTCATTCTGGTCTTCTAGAGAAGTGCCGAGAGGGGAGGAAAAGCCAGAGAAGTTCCTGGGTCTGATGACAGTGCTTGGTCCCATCCCTGCCTGAGGCCCTATCTTGGATTCTCTCCTACCTCCCAGCCCTTTTAATCAAAGCCTTTTGGGCCAAAAGAATTTGTAGCCACCAACCCCACAAGGGAAAACGTCATCAGGTAAGAGCTGGCTGGCCCAGGTTTTCCGGGCAGGTGGCATGCCTCCTGGCCAGCTTGGGTGTCTGCTCTGGGGTGCTGCTACTGCTGTACAGGACTCACCCAATAGCACCATTCCCCTTCCCTCTGTCTCACATGAGGGGCACCTCCCTGGGCCAGTTGTCCCCGGGTTTGGAGTCAGAGCCACCCCCGGGCCTCAGATGATGAGTCCTCCCACTTCAGATATTGGGGAGACAGCAGCACTGGGGGTGCCTGTGACCACTGCCACTCTGAGCAGTGGGGACATGTCAGTCATATGCCTCTGCTGCTTTCTTTAAAAACTTCCTCAAGGTGTAGGGCTGCACAGGTGTGAAGATGGCAAAAGGAAAGCTAGAATTTAAGGATCCTAATTCATGGGTTCCCTTCAAAGGAGTTTCCCTGGTGATGGTGTCACTGGAGAACGGATGTGCAAGCCACAGGGATTTGCCCCTGAGCAGAACCACCCACCTCAACTGTATTTACAGGGCTTCACCTAAAGACCTTTGAATTCCCAAAAATCAAGGACAGATTTGCTACCTCTGGGGACATTGAAAATAAAGTGGTACCTGCTTTTTTTTTTTTTTTTTTTTAATTACCATTGTCACTTTGATCAAAGGTGAGACGGTTAGAATGACCATCCAGTGGCCCAGCTCTTATGACAACATGTTCCTTGGGACCACTGGTTTAAGAAAGCAGCTTCAACCAATCCCATTACTTTGGAAATTAACCTTGTAAAATATCAGATGCAGCAGCCTTCCTTTGGAGAGATCAGGAGAACCCAGAGGGCTATTTTAAGGGTAATTATAATATCTATCATTTACGAAGCATTTATGTGTCAGGGCTTTACTTACAGTGTTGCTGATCTATACACAGCACTAGGTAGCCATCCCTACCCCCATTTTTCAAATGAAGAAACAAGCCACTCAGCTAGTAAGTGCAGAGCCAGGACTTGAACCTAAATCTGTTACCTCCAAAGCTGGGGCTCTTTTTTCACTTTTCACTGTTTCTTTTTGAAGACAAAGCAAATGACCAGGGGATTCCAATTGAGTCCCTGGGAGAAAACTAAGGTCATCCCATTTAGCTTTGAGATAAGGCTGCTCAGAGATGAATATGGCGGGCTTGGCTTACAGGAGGCTCTGAGCCTCAGGTGGGATGAAGCAGTGGCTAAGTGTGAATGTCCGGCAGTCAGGGTAATAATAGCCAGTGGCAGGGGGAGCTGGGCAAGAGGTATGTCTCTGCATGGCGGCTGTGCAGATCGAAGGCAGGGCAGAGTGGGCCAGATGGCTCTGGGTGGACCAGGATTCCACACCATTTATCGCACCCACATTTCCCTTTATTTCAGATGATTTCAAGTCAGCAAACATTTACTGAGCACCTACTATGTACAAGGTATGTTTTGGGTGCTTGGGGAAGGGCATGTGGGGAGCAGGGGTAAGTGAATCACAGTACAGTTGCTACCCTTAGGGAAAATTGGCATAACAGGGAGCAGATGTGGGGATGACACAGGGTTCCAAGTGGCAAAGTGACTTGCCCATGAAAGACTGAACATGAGGGCCCCCTGACTCTGTTTGGGGCATCAGGGAAAGCTTCCTGGATCGGTGATGCTTAAAGTGGGCACTGAAGGCCAAATCACATTTTGTTGGGCCAAGATGTGAGGAAGGTGTTCCGGGTAGATGTGCTGAGGGGGGTCTGCTGTACTTTCTGATATAGTCAGACTCCTTGGCCCACAGGCATGGGCTCCCGAAAGGAGAGTCCAGCTGCCAGGGTTTTGTCCCTTACTCCTGGCTTTCCCACCAAGGGCTCTGAGTTGGCCTGTCTCCCCAGGTGTGGCGCTGCCTGCCCAGGCGCTAGTCCTCCCTCAGGCCCAGAAGATTCTGGAGGTGGGGCTCTTCCTCCAATAATGACAGCACACCCTGCCTGCCTTGCATGTGATTTTGGCCTCTAGGCCAGGTCTTAGACTAAAGGATGGTGGGACGGGGGTGGGGGAGTGCTGCCACCTGGTGGTCTGGCTGTGGAGGAGGCCCAGCCTTCTCTGAGCGAGCTCTCAAGTGAGTCAAAGGCCATCAGCCCACTTGTCTCTTCTCAGTGCACTAGGCCCAAATTTACCTAGAGAAACATGGTCTTTTTTTGCTGTTGGAAGGAAGCAAGGGGGGATCCTTCCTTCTCTTGCATGCTGGCCCCTCCCCAGCCAAGAAGTCTGAGGCACAGGGGAGATGGTATAAGGGCTCCCCCACGCCCCATCCCCGCTGTTCCCAGCCTCTCTCCTAAAGGGATTACGTGCTAGCCCAGGGGCAGACACCGGACCCCCTTCTGAGCACCCCTAGTCCATGTTTCCTCTAGCAAAGAGTAAGGGGGCCCTTTCTGACACTTGCATTTGGGCCTCAGGACAGAGGTGACTAACAGAATCAGCATGTGTTCTCATTGCTCTGGCCCCAGCCTGATATTGTTACCAGATGAGAACATGTCTTACTGGGCTTAACTCTGATGGCTGTGGAGACAGCACTTTGAGTAACAGGCAGCCACACTGTATTCTGAATAAACCCTGGACCCTCCTATCTTGTCCTGGCCAGGGCTGGGGCCAGAGCTTGCTCTGGGGCTTTGAGAAACACTCCACTACCACCTTCCCCCATGGCCTGTCTTCATCATGCTAGGGCCCCAGTTCTTCTGCAGAGTAGCTGGGAGATGACTTCACATCCCGGCCTGCTCTCCACATGGGGCTCTGGGCTCCAGCCCGGGCCTCCTTAGGCTAATGCTTTCTCTACTTTTCCTTCCTCTGGAGATGAACGTCTGCAACAAGCCCTCCAACAAGACAGCCCCTGAGAAGAGTGTGTGGACAGCGCCTGCACAGGCCAGCAGACCCTCCCTGGAGCTGCAGGGCCAGCGGTCCCGCCGGAATGGGTGGAGCTGGCCCCCTCACCCGCTCCAGATTGTGGCTTGGCTGCTGTACCTCTTCTTCGCTGTGATTGGCTTTGGGGTCCTTGTTCCCCTCCTGCCTCACCACTGGGTGCCCGCTGGCTATGCTGTATCCTTGGGAAAGTGTGGGGCTAGTACATGGAAGAACTGGGGCAGTGGATGGAGGAACATGGCAGAGGCCTGAAGCTGGGCTCCAGAGCCCCACAGAGTGCAGGCAGGCCCCCTCTCTGCCCAGGAGCACCAGCTGCCTCCCTGCCTGGTTTCCAATCCCCATCTGACCCCTCTGCCTGATGGGGTGAGCAGATGGACCTAATGTACCTTGGAGCATTTAAAGCCCACACAGCTAGGAACCTTGTCAACCGAGATACCGCAAGAGTGATCACAGAAGAGAGCCTTAATGTTAATTGTGTCCAGAGCTCGACAAGGGATAGAGAGTAATTATTCCATTTACAAAAGAATCTTTCACTTTTCAAAAAGAGTCATGGTAGAATTCTTTTACATAGTAAGTTTCCTGGTATATTTAAAATGTGGTTTTATGTACAGTCAGATAATTATGCTGTACCCAGGACTGTTTAGGAGCTCATTGGTTTTGTAAACCAGACTCTTAGTGTGAAGCTGAGTTGACAAGAGGAGGGATAGAGATGCCCTGGAAACTCGTGGGAACAGTGACAAACACAAACTTGCCTGAGCCCAGTGGTATGACTCCCCCAGCCTTGGCCACAACCCCCAGGAGCCGAGGACATGGCTGCAAGGCTAGGAGATTGGGGTGCAACAGGTGGCTATGTGCCCCTGTCCGGAGGGTGCCCAGAAGAGGGTGCCCTCATGTGTGTTCTTCATGAAAATGATTTCTTGGGCTTCCTGGGGGAGAAGGGCGAGGGTGGGCTAAAGGAGGTTAGCAGAGATTAACTTGAAAGCTCCGGGCGTAGGGTCAGCAGCCGAGGTTGGTCACAGCTCAGCCCTTCAGGGGTCAGACAAGGCTGAGCAGCTTCGGCCGGCTCCCCGGTTCTCAGCCTCCTCCTCCGTCTGACAGGAGTCCTGCCTGCTTCGCAGAGGAAAGGAGCACCGAGGGTGTGTGTGTGAGCACCAGAATATGTGAGCCAGAAGTGTGAGTGTGCTTTCTTGGGAAACCACAGAGCCCTTGGCTGGTGAGTGACAAGGACAAACATGTGGAGAAGGACTGTAGAGAAGGTTGTTGTCCTCAGACACCAGCAATATCGCTGGGGGGGGGGCTTCCTGGTTCACTAGGACCCAGGGCCTAGTCATCAGCTGTGTAAATGGAACACTGGCCTTTCCCTGAGGGGACCGACAGGACTTAGGCCTTAGTGCTCTTAAGTAGAGTGGTTCGTGAAATATTCCTCCCATGATCTGGAATGGGCATGCCCCTCACTCAGGATTATCTGGGCTTCTACCACCAGGATACCTGGGAAGCCAGATGCATAACCACGTGGTTGCAGTGAGTACAGTCAGAGCAAAAACAGTAAACAAGAGTAGCTAGCATCTGTTGAGCATGTATATGTGCCTGGCACTGTGCCAAGCCCTGTATGTGGATTATATCATTCAATCCTCATAATAATCTGTAAGGAAGGTGTTCTCCCCACTTGACTAATGAAGAAGTCAGGGCTCAGAGAGTTTAAGCGACTTCCTGAGGTCACACAGCTGATACCCACCGAGACAAGAAGGGCTGCTCAGGCAACCTGACTCTGAGGCAGTGGGACGATTTAAGGGTTTTGTCCTCTCCACATTCATTCCTTTGGGCAACGTGGAGGCTCACAGAGCCACCAGGATTGGCACTCCCACTTCTAGGCCTGTATGCTTCTCCTTCCTTCCATCAAAGCCACCTTCCTTATGAAAACTTCCTCAGGGCCCCTGAGGAATGAGGTAGGGCAATGGTGTGTAGCAAGTACCTCCTGGGGCCTGGAAGTGGCCTGGGACCTACCGTTGCAAAGATGAGTAAGACAGGCCCCCAGCCCTGGGGTGCTCAGCCTGCCGCTGGGGGAAGGCCTTGTAGAGTAGAGATCATCACATGGTAGGTATGAGGGTAGGAGCCATACAACAGATTATGGGTGTAGGAGGAGGGCTGTCTAGACCAACACCACCGTGGGCTCAGCTGCGGATCTGCTATGTGCCCATCCTCCTCTGTGGTCACCTCTCTGGGTACTCTTGGCTCTGCCCCTTTCCTTCATCATCTATATCCAGTCAGTCATCAAGTTCTGTGGATGTTAGCTCCTAAATAGCTATCCAAGCTTGCCCTCATTCCTCCCCACTGCCATCTGCCCCTCTTACCTAGATGACTGTTTTGTTTCCAAATAGGCCTCCCCCCACACACTCTTGGGCCAATCCATCGGTGTCCACCCGTGTTCCTGCAGTAGATTGCCCTTTCAAAATCCAAATCTGATAAAGTTGCTCCCCAGCTTAACATCCCATAATGGCTTCTTCCTGTCTTAAGAAATGATGTTCAAGATCCTCAGGACTCTTCATGTTCTGGGTTCTGTCCATCTCCCCAGCCTCTTATATTATTTCCTCTGACACCACTGGTCTCTTGGCTGGAAGGCTCTTGACTCTCTCCCTACCCGAACACCCAGCTAAATAAGAAGTCCAGAACCAGCAGCCCACAGGCCTGTTTGGCCTACAGATTTTCTTTTCTTTTCTTTTTTAAAGTAGGCTCTATGCCCAGAGTGTGGCTTGAACTCACGACCCCAAGATCAAGAGTCACACGCTCAACCAACTGAGCCACCCAGCTGCCACCAGATTTTCTTTTTTATTAAAAAAATTTTTGGGGCGCCTGGGTGGCGCAGTCGGTTAAGCGTCCGACTTCAGCCAGGTCACGATCTCGCGGTCCGTGAGTTCGAGCCCCGCGTCAGGCTCTGGGCTGATGGCTCAGAGCCTGGAGCCTGTTTCCGATTCTGTGTCTCCCTCTCTCTCTGCCCCTCCCCGGTCATGCTCTGTCTCTCTCTGTCCCAAAAATAAATAAACGT